GTGCGGCCAGCCCGGGCCCTGTGACCGCACAGCCTGCACAGCCTGTGTCAGAGAAGCAAGCGAGCAGGAGGAAGAAGACGAACAATGCGAGTGATCGGGACTTAAAGTGGACAAGAACCTCCTGCCTGCCCTGGTCGTCTGACGCGTGGCGGTGCGCTGCTCTCTCAGCAGGCGTAGGACAGGGGCTCTCAGAATTACTCCGGAACTCCCCTTTATAAACCGAGGTCCGTTCCCGCTTGCTTTTCTTCCGTGTGATGTTACAGGTTTTAATTTTCTGTGCTTCTTTCTACGTAGGTATGACTCCCACACGTAAATGCAGCGACTCAGTGCATCATTCAGCAAAGGTCGAGATGACAGAGTGTCCAATTCCTCCTAAAAGAATGAGAAGAGAGACCACCAGGCAAAACAGGTGAGCGTGTTCTGAACCGAGAGTTATGACTGGGCCACCACACTACGGACTGTATAACTTGTAATACCCGTGGCTTAAGAGGCTGAGGTGGGCTAGGCAACTTAGCGAGACCGTAAAACTAAAAAGGGCCGAAAGCTGGATTCGTTTATAAGTCTGAAAAAGTGAGTCTTCCACAGTATTTTCGCTTTCGTTTCCACAGTTATCGCTTTGCACTTCCTAGCAGTCCCCTCCGCGGGAACAGCTTCTCACTTCCGATGCCCGCTCTCTGCCCTGCCCTGCCCTGCCCTGCCCTGCCCTGTCGCCATGCAATGAGCACCCAGCAGCTCAGCGGTGGCCCTGTCCGGCAGACACGGGAGCCACTTCACGACTTGATCGTGAGTCAGGGACTTACTGTACCGTAAGCACACAAGAGCAGTTGCTTGTATTATTCCTGATTTCCCCATCGAGCCATAATTAAGATCTTAGAAACAAGAAAGACCCTAAGCAATGATAAGACATAGTCATTTCAGTCCCCAGGATATCCGGTTTTCTAAATGACTTCTGTTATATGGAATAAAAAGCGTCAAGATGAGGCCAGTGTGTTCCCTTGTGCTGTAGGGTGCGTTTCTTTGCCTACTTTTACTCGGTTCAGACTCGCTCTCCAGAGTCTGTTGCTTTTCCCTGCCTTCAACAAAACCTCGCTTGAAAAAAAAGATGCCATATGTACACGCACCAGTTCCCCATACGAGGGATGTCTTCATTACACCTTGCAGACATACACTAATAAAAGAATTTTAGATCCTTCCCTACTCCCAGATCTTAAAATGTAAAATAGTGAAAAATAATTTTACTCCTAATAGTGACTTTTGCTTTTATGTTTAAATAAATTGCACTCTGCTTGATAGACATAGGAAATGCAAAACCACTTACGTATTGCTTAAAATTGGCTTCTAATACTTGATTTGGAGAATCAGGTTCCATTTGGACCGCTCACGGACAGTACGAGAAGCCAGGTGTGGCGCATGCCTCTGGTCCCCGTGCTCCAGAGGCTGAGGCAGGAGGATGGCAAGTCAGAGACCAGCCTGGGCTACCTAGTGAGACCCCTGTGTCAAAAGCAAAACAGGAGCACAGTTTCGCAGCCTGGCTCCGTGGTGAGGAGGGTCCCTGGTAGACACGAAATGAGCGAGGCCATCCACGGGGGTGCAGTCCTTCATGGGTTGGAGGGCTCCCGTGTGGGTCACCAGGAAATCCCTAGGACTGCTTGGGCCGCATGGTCGGCACTGTCCAGCCCACGTGTGGGCTCAGTCCCGTGTGCGCCGCCTGCTCTGACCCTGTGCAGAGAGGGTTCCGAAAGCAAACTTGCTGAATATGGAGAAGAGCGCGGCAGTGATAGTGCAGAAGCAGCGCCCGTGGTCAGGAAGTGTTGCCGGGTGGAGGCGCTGAGTGGGGAATGGAAAGACGCCGCTGACCCCCCTGCCGGCGGGGGCCGAGCCGGGGCCAGGCACGGCCAGGTTACGAAGCAGCTTCGCCATCGTATTGCGGAGGTTGCCATGAACGTCCCCGGCCCTCCTTGGCAGGTGCCGGAGAGCCAGCTCAGCATCACGATGGCGGAGGTTCCATTCAGAGGATGCACGTTCTGACTTTAGTGTAGCAACTGTGTTTCCGGTTACCAAATTAAAAGGTTTTTTATAGAAAATTCTTATTTGAAAACAGAGGCTAAGCAGTATGGCAAAGTTACACCATTATATATAGCTGGGTTTGGAGGCACACGCCTATAATCCCTGAACCCTGGGAGGCTGAGGCAGGGTTGTCTCGAGTTTGGGCCCAGCCTGGGCGATTTGGCACTTAGTGAGATCCTGCCTCAAAGTAAGAAACAAGAGACCGGGACACAGGTGCAGCTCGGTGTGTGGGCCCTAGGTTCAGGCCCCGACGACGAGCGTCTGTACCTTTTCATTCAGATGGGCACTGCCGAGCTGGACTCCGTGGCCTGCAGGTGTGAGCCTCGGGAAGTAGCCGAGGTCTTTGGAGGAGCAGCAGTGCGCACGTGTCCGGGTGGCCCTTTTTCCCGTGGTGGCGCGAGAGGTGGTTCTGCACCGGAGCACGGGTAGGAGCTGAGCTGAGCAGTGGTAACAGAAGGCCTTGGTGTGCGTGCTCTGTCCATGGAGGGCAGAAAGCCCGGCCAGCTCAGCTCCCAGAGGCACGCGGGCCGCTCCCACAGGTTCAGGGCGGTCAGCAGATCCAGAGTGGGGAATTCCTGGGGCACAGGGCTGGTCTAGTTTTCCTCGTAAATCAGTGATAGAACAGGAGAAGGGTGAATTATAGATAGCCACGTGCACCATGTGGGCCTTACTTGGATTTGGATTTGAATAAGCCAACTTTAACATGACAATGTGTGCCGGGATTAACAGGTGTGCGCCACCAAGCCTGGCTCCACTCCGCCCTTTTCCTGTTTTTGTTTTTGTCTTTTCTTTTTTTTGTACCAAGAATCCATCTTAGGACCTTTTCCCTAACTCTGACCCTGACCATCCGTGACCCCCTTTTACTTTGACTTTTTGAGATGGGGTGTTAAGTTGCTGAAGTGGGCGAGCTGAGTTTGAACTTGGGATCTCCTTTGTATTGATTTTATGCATAGTAACAAAATTTACACTACATTTAATTTTTTAAAAGAAATTCATGTATAACCAGAAATGCATACTCTAGGGTATTTTCTGGTTAGATGGAATGTGGGAAATTCTCTGAAATACCGTAGGAAAAAAGCGGCAGAGGTATTAAAACACGATTCGGCAGTGGGCCAGGGATCTGGCTTAGCGGTGCCGCCGCCTGCCTCGCAAGCAAAAGGGCCTGAGCTCGAGCCCC